CTCCTCCTCCTCCTCCTCCGGAAGTCAGTGCACCCCCTAGACCCGGTGAAGCGCTACCTTTCATACTTTCGATTGTGGCCTTGACGCTCGTGATGCTATGAGGATGAGCCGTCGAGGGCGTTCCTGGGCCATTTGGACTAGGTCTCGAATGCACCTCTTCCACCACTACTCCGGGCACCGAGATGATTCCATGCTCATCGCCTTGCATAGCTGCATTGTGCGGAGCCAGTGGATGCCTGGGAGGTGCAGGAGCTTTGCTAGGTTCCAAGACCGTCGTGGTCAACACGCTTTCAGCATCACCTTGCCCTTCAGCCATCTCGCTTGTGCCGCATTGAGCAACATTGGCGCCCGAGTCCCTCAGCGCCCCCAAAGCTCGGATCAGATCATCGGCCAATGTATCCCTATTCGGTGGATCCTCCACGATCGGCTCCCATCCTACCGGTGGCGAGCCTGGTGGAGAGATGAGAAAGTTGCGATCCGTCATGGGCACGCCTAGATGCTTGGAAGCTTCTTCGTATGACAGGGGTGTCTGAGGTCCAAAATAGGCCCTGATGGCTGGCCTGTCCGCGCAAGGCGTAAGAAAGCATAAGATTGGCTGCCTCTGGGTCACAGAGCGCAAAGAAGAAGTGAGAAAAAGTCTCTGTACTCACACGCCTTTTGTACGCCTTGCGAACAAGCGCTCGGCATCTACATTCGCATCAGCCTCTTTGCCATCTTGCTCGTATTGCAGCACCAGACCGTCAACGACTTCTTTCGCTCGAGCAGCACCCGCACACTCTTCGAAAACCACGATTGCTCTTTCGAATGACGGCAGAGGGTGCCAAGAAGCCAGAGAACCGCATGCATGGAGAAGATCCAAAAGTCCGCCCACTAGCGATGGCTCTTGGAAGAAAACTTCTGGTAGGCCAGTCAAATTGAGAGAATTGGTCGGCAAGACGGCTTTGCTGGTAGATGCTCGATTGCGAGTCACGCGAGTCGTCTCAGGGTCTGCCTGATCACCTTCCAACAGCGCATTCAACCGTTCGAGTGTCCTCTGAGGGGCAAGAGACACAACAAATGCTCAATTCGCTCAGCGAGGTGATTCATCGCATTTCAGTAAGGACGATAACGAGCATTAGTCCTCACTCTTCCGCCATCGTTGAGCTCAACGCCGCCATCTTCCTCCTCCTCCTCCTCTGCGTCGTCAAAATCGCTAGGATCTCCACCATTTGCTAATCCTGTGCCAAAAGCGCCCAGCGAAGCAAACGGATGCGAGCTTTCGCCTCCATCGAGGACAGATGGATGCAGAGATGCAGCGCGTGAGAGGCTTGCGAAGAGAGGCTCGACTGTGAGATCAAGGAGGAGAGATGAGGGTGAGCGGATATGGCCTCAGATGTTATCGCCTGACGATACTAGCCACCCACGCTGATTCTGATCGGGTGTTAATAACCACATTTCGCGCAGACCTTCTTCCTCTTCGCCTTCCGCATCGTCTTGCTCGTCTAGACCGTCGTCCGTCTGACAGTATACACATCCCGCCTCTTCGCTCTCGTCGCTCTGAAATCCATCAGGCAGAGTGCGTGAGACGGCATGCAGCGACAAGGTAGGGTAGTCGAGCGTCCAACCGATAGAGGAAGCGGTCAGGAAGGAGAGGGATCTGCCACAGAGTGAAAGAATGATGAGCGCAGAGACGTTGAGCGAGTCACTCAGCAAGCACTCACTCGTCTGTGACCCAAAGCGTGCCGACCTGCTCGTAGGTGTCGCCGGCGGTAGCGTGTAAGTCCGTGGGAGCAGGCTTGATCCTGCACCTGACATCTTCGAGATACGTCCTCAGCACTGGAGGTCTGACATGCATCTCTCCGAAAGATGAAGGCGTGGATTGTTGATGCGTCTCGTGCTCGGCTGGAGTGATGGTGAATGGAGAACTGCTGATAGGCTTGAAGGGCATCTTGCTGGATTGCGGCGCGGGGCCATTCGGAAGCTGGGCCGGTCGTGAGTAGGCGCAGCTCAGAGGCGATGAATGGCACTCTGGTGCTGTGATACGTTGTGATCGAGGCGAAAGATCTTGCTGATCGATTACGCGAGCTTGAGCAGGGGGGGTCAGGCAGTCGTGCGTGAACCTCAATCAAGTAGGTACAATCAAGAATCAATAATCACGAACCAAGATTTCTAATAATCGTAAATTATGAATCAAAATGTGAATGCTGTGAATCCCACCCCGGATCGAGATGACCTCAGGACTTGCCGCGCATCGGGTGTCACGTGATGCTCAATTTGGGTCCCGAACGAGCCCTCTGCGTATGACATGACCGATATGTGGAGGGGTCGGTCCTCCAAAGAAATTCAGTGACTCTTGACGGAACACTTGCTTTAGGTACTCTAGACCTTTGACTCAAAAATTCACCCTCAAGACTGTCAACTTCAAGACGATCCGCATGGCTTTTGCACACGGGTAGCGCTTTGCGAAGCCCAAACAGTAGAGCGGGAATTTTGGGAGAGGTTGAAGGGCCGGCAATCTCAACAGTCGAGCTCGCTGCCTGCGCCAATGACGTAAGATTGGCAAAAGGAGAAAACGTCAAAATATCTCGGAAATAGAGACCGACTCGCTACGGAATCATGTCGGAATCATTGATCTTTCACCAAGACAGCGTGAGCTTGCATCGGAAGCTTTCAGAGGAGCTTATTCTTCTTGCGACATCCTCGCTGACTTGACGCCTCGTCTCTACATACTTCCTGGCAGCCGCTGAATGCGGAAACGACGTTGCAAGTCCTCTGCCAGCACCTCATCACGCCCATCGAGCACGCATTTCACCGCAACCACGGCGAGCTACTTTCGCAAGAGGCGGTGCCTAAGCGCATCAACTTTTCATGCACTGCCAAGCTGCCTTTCGCCGTTGCGAATCGCACATTTGAGCTGGACGACTTTGCAGAGAAAGAGACGCTTGTAGCGGTGCTCGAATGCGCAGGCAACCGTCGTAGCGGAATGAGCTTGGGTGGGGCCAAACCTGAAGGACTGCAATGGGGTCCCGGCACCATTTGCAACGTAGAATGGCAAGGTGCGTGCGATGAACAAATTGCTTTTTTGGATATTGACCTTTGGTGACTGATCACTTCTGATTTGGGCGCCCCGCGCGTCCAGGTACGCCTCTGCGTTCCATCTTGGTCAAATTGCTTCCGGCCGAAGCCATCGCTTCGACAGAGTGGGCGCGCAATTTGTATTTGCACATCATCTCGGCGCAATCGGATGATCAAGGCGCATTTGCAGCTTCACTACCACTCAACGAGATCCTCTCGCACGACTGTCCGGCACTGTTAGCTCACGCAGCGAACGGTGCGCCGCTGCCTCACCCACACGGTCCTCGGGCAGTGCTGCCAGGCAAGATCGGGGCTAGGTGGGTAAAGTGGGTCTCTGAATTGCGCATCTCCAACTTGCCTAGCGATGCGGAACCTATGAAGGAAGATTACAAGATCATTCTACCGCCCCATGGTGATGTACAAGCTGCGGATGAGCAGCGTGAAAAGCTCCTCAGCGCTGCTGAGCCTATCATGAGATTGGGAGTTGGCTCCGCTATTGCGAGTCCAAATGATGGTGATCGTGTGACTTCTGATATCGTTGCGCGAGGATACGCCGTCCCGACAGGAGGTGAGTAAAGATGGTGTTCAACCTGACATGATCTTCGCTGATCGGGACCGCCTTCCTGCAGGTCGACCGATCAATCGTGTGGAGATGCTGGCCGTGCCAGATGACGCAACTTCCACGATAGAGGGGATTCGAGATGCTGCCGCTGCTCGACCAGCAAGCGAGTGGCAGCAATGCGATAGCGAAACAAGTCCAGCAGCGCCGCGTGAACTGGGTGGCGCAACCTGGGGCTGGACCTTGTGGTCCGCGGCTCTCCTCTTGCCAGCGCAAAGTGCTGATCATACTTTTGCGCTAGTCGTCCGAGCCTGTGAGTGGTGCGAGGCGGGCAGGGCACAGATTTAGCCCCGACTTACTGATCATCAGCCTTCCTTGCCTTCGCTCCTTGCAGCGACTGATGCAGAAGGGCAAGAAAAGACATCTGCCTTCAACCTACGCGGCTTCGGTAACCGCTCATGGCCAGTTGTGCGCGGATTGGAGCTGTTGCGCAATGCGGCGTAATACACTTGCTCTTGGCTTGACATACGGGTGACTGTGCTTGATGCGTGCTTATATGCTGCCCACGCTAATTGGACTTTGTGGACGCTTTGGGACCAGCAGCCGAGTAGACCAAAGTTCGGGACAGTACCATTCAAAGATTGGTCTACCAACTTCAGCACTGATGCCGGCCCACCGCAGCAGCAGGAGGCTCCTAACGGCAGATGTTTGATCTCTGGGTGCTTGAGACTCTCGTTCAGTTGCCTGATCGGCAGACTTGACGGCGAGTTGCGGGTGCAACCTCGACAATTTCGCAATCGATCTCAGTGGTCTATCATCTTCTGGCCTTCTGTTTGTCCAACTGTCGAACAAATGCTGATGCTCCTGAATGCAAGCGCAGGCTTTCGTGCCTCACGATGTTGAGCTTGGCCCGACACTGGGAGCCCCGCTACCGCTGCTCTTTCCCTCAGTCAGCTTCTTAATCGCCGCATCTACAGCTGTCGTATCCCTGCCAGCAGCCTTCAGCGCGTCCCTATCGGTGTAAAGTTTCAATACCGAACGATTTGAGTAGTCGACTGGCCGAACAAAATGCCGTATCTTCCTCTTCCACGCGTAGTAAGTTTCGATATCAGCGGGCGCTTCTGCCAGTCCTTCTAGATTTGCTTTGCGCACCATGGCAGCATCGATTACACTCGTGTCCTGCTGCTGTTTCGCCGCGGCCGCTCTTTGATTGTAGAGGGTTTGCATCGGCTGTCTTGCAAGCTGCTCGACCTCCTCGCTTGCTTTTTGCCTCATCACTTCGGGTTTGACGAGCGGTGGAAGCTTGGCAGCTTTGGAAGGCCTTCCGAAGATCTCTTTCTTGCGCAAACCAACAAAGAACTTGCTCGCGCTGGTAGGCATGGTTGCGTCTGGATCGTATTTCTTCGCCGTAGCAAGAATCTGTGCATCGATGTCAGAAACGTCTTGTCCCGCGGCTTGCAATTGCTTCTTTTGTGCAAGGAGAGTGTGAAGCGCAGGAGACCCTTCTACGTACTTCCTTTGTGGAGCCCTCTTGGGAACCCCCATCTTTTCCCTCGCCGCCTGCCATTCTGCCAAGGTCTGTGGAACCTCCTCGAAGTTGGCTTTCTTTGCCTTTTGCGCAATCATTCGTTCAATCGCAGGCAGATTGGCCTCTGATACCCTGGGCTTCTCTGCCAGCAATGTCGACAAAGCATAGCGGCTATAGTGGGCGGGTGGAATGTTCGTCATTTCTTCCGGTCGTCTGCGCTTGGGATTAGGGACTCGCGCATCGTTGACCATTTCTTGCCATGGTCGCAACACGTCTGCGGACATCCCCCGTGCACGACCGTCTCTTAGACGATTGTAAGCTGTACTTATGCTGACTGTACGATCCTTCGGAAGCGTCCAAAATGACGGGTCAGACTTGTCGAGCTTGCCGCGGGGCAATCCTTTGGGAAACTCCCTCAAAATGCTTGGCGTGGTCGACGGTTCAGCATGCCCACTTGCAGGCTGCCTTCTAGGGTTGGCGCGCGCCGGGCTCGGGCTTCGAGAAGAACTGTGTAAAAGAGAATGTATGAGATTCGCATCCTCCTCAGACCAATGATGTTCAAGGAGCGCCGTCGACGTTTCCGGGGGCAGGCTCGTCGAGACGGAAGGTTCACTGTGGGCGGAACTCGCAGAGGCGCCCGTTTCATGGCTGTCGCCTTTTCCACTGGTGCCATGACGGCTCGGACTGGGACTTTCGGGATGAAGGACCGAGCGAAGAAATTCTTGGTCTTCCGCGGTGAGTTGTTGTATTGGTGACGACGGCGGGGTGTGGCTGGCAACATGGCTGCCACTCCGCTGAGGACTGTGAAGAAATGACGAAAGCAAATGCTGGTCATGCTCGCTGAATTCGTGACCAAATTGCGGACTCGTCGGCGCAGAGCCATGACCCTTTGGATGACCAAAAGAGCCGAGTCGTGCAATGCTGGGACTCGAACTCTCAGCAGCCTGCGCGACTCGTCTCGTTCCAGCGAAATCCTCGAGCGCTGCGACGAATGAGCTTCCCGAAAGGCCGCGACGCTGAAGAGACGGAGTACGTAAATCGAATGCGAAGGCGGATGTGACGCAAAGAAAAACGGCAAAAAGTTGAGCGAACAACATCTTTTCGAAGCTCAACAGAGGACTGGCCAGCAGATCTGTCGAGGACCGTCTAAAGATACGAACGTTTGAATGTGTCCCTTTTTGGGAGCCCTGACGAGGCAGGATGAAAGGCAGATTCCGCTCACGATACGGCTGACCGGCAGCTCCGTTGGTCGTGAAGTATTGGCACTCGTAACTGCGTGACGCCAAAGATTGATCGAGGGCAAGTTGGACGCATTGCTAAGAGTGACACAATATGCGCCACCATTCAAGATCGCTCTTTATGTAGAAGTACTTTGAATCATTATCCATGGAACTCTGTTTGCATTGATAGCTTGCGCCACCACCTCCGCATTAGACGTACACTGACGCTCACGCATGTTTCCTCTTCTATGCGGGCACGTTGATCGGGCGACTGGGCGACTATTCAGCTTGACTCGGAGCGCGCCATCTCAAACGCTGGTGATCTGCATGGCGAGTCCCCTATGTTCGTGCAAGCACTCTGGAGTGGGTGTTGGCCTGCTGAGTCATTGTTCTGCACATCGGAGAAGAGGGCATGCGGCAACGCCTTCTTCAGCCTTCCGTCGGCGATTCTGATGCCGGTCCGCATGTCGGACTGTTGGCGGCACTCGATGTCGATTGGATGAGCAATCGTGAATCAGCGTCCGAGCGGATGGACAATGATCGGATCACGTAAGCAGCCAGTGGAGTATGAAAGAGAGCTAGCTGCCCTTTCTCGAGTCCGCACGCCTGCCGCACCTACGCCAAATATCGACGCCAGGCGATGAAGGCGATCGGGCCGACGCGTGGAAAGGACCGACTTGGATGCAGGCGGGGACGCATGTGGTGTTTGATGTTCGTCTACCGAATGCGATCCTTGCTTGCAGATAGTTAATCTGAATCTACATCACCGGCCTCCGGCGGTTCCCTGCTCCACACCGCTGGTGCACCTGAGCAGGTCTGCGCAGGCCGGCAGAGATGACTGATGAGTGTGGCATACAGCGATTTGTGCCAATTAATAGAGCTACGTCCAGACATTCTCTGACGAGTTCCAGCATCGGCGTCAGTATCGAGATCTGGCTCACGCGTGCAGGAATGCCTTCCGCGTGATGAAATTCTTCTGGCTACACGTACCAAGAAGGCTGCACGTTGTTACTTCACGTACCTCCCCTCCTCTCGATCGCGGCGGGGCACCCTTGATTTTGGTCAACGGTCCGCATGAGCCTTCGCCGTCGCGTTTCCAGGTCGGGTCAAGATTTCCTCTTTGGCAAGCTAGGTCAGAGCTGCGGGACTTGGTCAAAAGCTGCGCCAAAGAAGGTGCAAAGTGGCAAATGGCGTAGCCGCGGGCGCCTTCGATCCGGCAATCCACGAGCGTCAGCTCCCATTGCGCTGTGGGATTCAACCGAGCCCGCGAATGAGCATGCGACGCCCCGCCGTCCCACACTTGTGGGTAGAGAGATGGGTGGCAAACGTGCACGTTGCTTCAAAGGCCAACTTCATCCGCGTGATCCAGCTTTGCCATGATCATGTCAACGGAAAACTCTTAGTAGCGTCGTGTGTCCTCATTATGAAGGCCTGCCAAAATTTCCTACCGCGTGTCGCAGACCTGCGTGATCCTCCCTGTGAGACGAAAGACCCGGCAACGAGCCGTTCCCAAGACGATCACTCCTCGATGGATTTCTTGTGAGCTTGAGTGGAGTCGAACCTGTACATGGGACCGCATCCAACTCGCAAGGGTCCTCTTGAAGGCGGCTCGTACAATGAGAACGTTCGTGGATGCAGCGTTGCTGAGGACACTGTCACGCATTGGTGTTGGTAGCAGACTTTGCATTCGACAATGCTTGAAGCTGTCTGTGCTTCTGAATCGTCACGCGTGGAGCTGATCCCGGCTCGCTTCTTGTGAGGCCCATTTCGTGAGCTAACGTTAAGATGCGCGCATCGATATGTGAAGTATCCTGACCTGCATCGAAGGCGATTTTCCGCTGCTTGAACAAGGGATTCACGCCCGACTGTCGGTACGGTCTGACCTCTTTGCCTCGAGCTTTGGCGCGAGCCATTCTTGTCAACTGCATGCGCCAAGCGGACGCCGAGGGTGGTGTCCTTGGGAGACCCTGTGACCTGGCCTTGGCGTCCAGAGCCTTTGAAATGCGTGCCAGATCTTCGGAATTGGACGTTCTCTCTTTGTGCCGAAACAAGGCATCGAAGGAGGATCTTGTGAGCTCTGCTGTGCGCGGTGATAAGGCACCTGCTTCTATGTCTTTATGCAAAGCTTCGTTTCCCTCAACATGCCTTTCTAGCCGGTAGTAATACATGGACTTCGAAGTCGGCATGGGAAGATCCCTTTGCCTCGCAAGCTCTGCGATCTTCGCCTCGACCTCAGACGTATCTGCACGCTCGCTTTTCCGCTTTGCCTTCTCCCTAAGCAGGGCAGACATGCTTTTCCCATCTATACCGTTCGGGTATTTGTAAGGACGAATCTTGGCAGGTGATGCGCCCCCAAATTTGGTGGTGTGTGGCGGCTTTACAGGCCGGCTCTTGTACCCCTTCATGACTCTAAAATGTTCAATGTTTTTGGGAATTTCGGGCAGCTTCGCAGCAATGGTTTTTTCTGCAATTGCAGCTTCCAGCTGCTCGACATGCTCTGGGGCTACCTTTTCCCGTTGGTGGATCAAGTGGTGTAAGTGCTTGGAAGCATAGGCTTCGGGATGAAATGGCGCTGTTTGGCGCCGGCTCTTCGGTAATGCGCGCCAGGCCTCTGAAACGAGTTGCTTGAGCCTTGCAATCTCCTGTGGAGGCGCTCCAGCCACTTCCGCTTCACGCAATCGTCGTCCACGCGTGCGGAGGCTACCTGCTTCGGCAGACAAGAGCCGTCGTGGCACTGGCACTTCTGACCAGTTTTGCATGTTGGCATGTTTGCCTTCTTCGAAGGTCGGGCTTTCGTTCCCAATTGGGCGAGCTGAAGATGTATTCTCGCTACTGTGCTCAGCAGAGCCGCCACTGTGCTTGGTAGCGGTGGACAAACCGGCATTCGAAGTAGAAGGACTTGGTGAGTGTGGATTGTTAGAGCTCGCTGGCGACACAGAGCCCAGACTGTGCTGGTGATCTGAGTGTTCTGCCCAAAGCGAGTTGACGAAGTTGTCATCGAGATGATGCTGGTTGGCTGAGTGATGCGGACCTGCTGACCCTGCTGGGCTGAACGCCGATGGAGAAGCCGGCACATAGCCGCCGCCGTGATCATGACTCGAGTGCGCAGGTGTATTGGGGCGGGAAGGTGATCGCAGTAAAGAATTGACAAAGTCA